ATATATATATATATACACACACACACACACACGTTTCCAAGGGAGAATGTGTCCTGACATGTATGTCCATCTCATCTTGTGATTCCAAGGTCAGTGAGGCCTTGGGATATCTGTCAGTTAAGTGTATCTGCATAACATAAAGCTATTTGAGACTTTCTATAATAAGCATACTTGACATTTTCAAAGATTTTTCTCTTGGCAGCATTTAAGAACTGGCATTTTTTGTTCTAAAGGATTTTTTTCTTTTTTTTCCCCTCCTCCCTTTCTTGCTTCTGATTTTTCTGTTGCATTCACCCCAGGCCCAGCAAATCCTGAAATGCCAGATAAGGACCCTGTTGCATGTGTCAGATTTCCCCTTTAATTAGTACTGATTTTCTCTGGACTAGCTATGATGCTTCATTCTGCCAAGTTTGTGCCCGCAGTACATGAAAACTGGCAGTGGCAGGACATTCCTCAAAATAGAGCTTGCAAACTATAGTTGTTTACTTCCCAATCATCTTTTATGATCAGGGCTGTCCCGGGAAGGGCGGGGGGAATCGGGGCGACTGCCCCAGGCCCCATGCTTTGGGGGGCCCTGCGGACAGTGCAGTACAGGCCCAGCCATGGCCTCTGCACGCTGCTGGCTCCGCATGCCACTGGCTCCATGCTCTGGCCTCTCTCCACCCTCTGGCCCCACACAAGCTGATATGCCCCGGGCCGTGGAGGCCCCATAGGGATAGCTCTGCTTATGATAATCTTCAGTTTTTCAAGGTCACAAATGATTTGCTTCTAGCTGTAGATCATTTCAACTATGTCATTCAAAGAAGATTTATCTTGCTTTCTACTAGCGGGTGTAGTATAACCTGGCTTGGCAGTTGTAGGAGAAGTATAGCTGAGACCTCTTAAACTTCTAGATATACAGCTTTTTTAAGGGATATAATGAAGCCACAAAAAAAGAAAGACTGCTTCTAAGATGCATGGGAACAGTAAGACAGGATTTTGAGTTTGCACTGGTGAAACGAAATTCCTGCCTGTTGGGCAGAAACCAACCCTGTATTGGAACTGGAACAAGTGGAGACATAGAAACAAGTGGGAAATGTGAATTGGCCATCAAGTATGAGAGCAGACAGAAGTGCAGCTCCTGAGTCTAACTCATAGCAATTCATAGAAATTGCTATGAGTTAGACCAATCACTCCTATCCAGCAGACATTCACTGATGGATCAGGAGGGTGAATGAGACTGTGTCTTTCCCTGGCTCTGCCCTCCCCCCCCCTCCCCGATCCGTTGCTATCTCTGGATGGGAGGAAGAGGCAGGGGAGGGAGGTCTTCTGGATTTTTCTCAGCCCCACTGGAGTGGGGGGAGAGGCAGATTGGAGTCCCCCGCTGAGGTTTGGGGCTCCAATCCACTGCCCCCCCCAATCCACCAAGGCTGAGAGAACCCCAGAAGGCACCTCCCTCCCCTGCCTCCTCCACCCTCCCATCCAGAGACAGCAGCTGCAGGTGACTGTGCTGCAGCTGGAGCAGACAGAAAATCAGTTTTGAACCTTCATACAATGAGGGTTAATTTTGTCGTGTGATCAGAGGGCTCTGCAGCCCTTCTCTTCTGTTGCAGCATGGCTTTAGAGCAATTTCAAGGGGCCGATCATGCAACAAATGTCATTTCTGTCTGCACCTTGTGTCTACCAGCTGTTGCTGCTCTGTAAAAGAGGAAGCATAGGCTAGATGCAGACATTCAAAAAGCCTGAGGCAGAATCTATCTAAGCTATGCAGTTTTCTGTAAGCGTTGTAGTTTAGATCGGTAGTAAACAGAACACGCATTCACCCTTTGGTCGGGGAGGCAAATCTTAGACTGGATTCTGCCATTTTTAAACCAGTCTGTATGTGCTGAACTTCTATTCTGTTGTGGGTATAGACCGGTTTCTGCTATCTTATACCAGTCAAAGCATCATGCCTGTATCTGGCCTCAGAGCCTGCTGACAGCCTGAGGCTAGTAGTGGACCCATGGAAAAGCTTTTCTGGCACAGATTCACTTTAGGATAAAAGATTTTTTTTCTCTTAACTCCAGAGCAATGCATTAACTCAAAGGCGAATTGCTTTGCAAAGGTGAGCTTTGCAGTGGAGCCAGCACGTGAATTGTTGATAGTTCATACCACAGGCTGCATGCATGAACGTTCAAGAAAATAGCCCAGTTTTGGTTTATATTCAGAAAGGCTACAGTGGCAACTTTAATGAGTAGAAACCCACAAAGGACCCACTATCCTGTCCGAGGTGTTTTCTACCTCCTCACTGGCTAGTTGGGGAGTAGATTTGTCAAATCCTCGAAGTTCTCTAGTTCAGGTCACCACTGCTGACCTTATTGCAATGCAAATTTGATTCTAACTTCATTACATTCACCATCCTACTGGTATTTATCAAACTGGAAAGTTAATGTAGCATGGTATTAATTAGCCTTTCTGCCTGTCTTGTTCTTTTTTAGGTGTCATTTTCAGTTTAATGAATTACTTTCTGGAAATGAAGTAGGGTGAATTCTAGGAGAGAGAGAACACTTGCTTCATCCATGAAAACATGCGCTGTCAGATATGAAAGATCGCTCTAAAAACATGGCAGGCTTTTTTATTTCCCAGCAATTCAAAATAAAATAGCCGCTAGCAAATCATCATGCCTTCCTTCCAATAGTTGTGATTATATTTCTATTAATGACTGTATAGACATAATGCTAATCCCTTCCATTAAATGTCATGCAGAGAACTCCAACCACAATTTCATTCATTTTACTTGCAGTAGCTATTAATCTGTTAGCAAATACGTATTCTTCATAAACAGTATATAATAATACTCAGCTTTGTTCTGTGACATACTGTTTGGACCAGCTCCTCTGCCTGACAAGACTGGAACTACAGTGATTTGTACTGGGTAGGGCTCTGACCCATAAACTTGAAATAATCTAATCACCTAATTATCTTTTCATTTCTTCACACACACACACATGCTCAGCAGTACTTCTTGAGGGCCAGTATACAAGACATACTGTAAAACGTATTCAAGTACAATGATGTTAAATTTCTCTGACATAAGTCAATTTTTCTTTAAAATGCCATGTTCTTTCCAAACTGCATGAAAGCAAACATTTCCTTAGAAGTTCCCTTTGGATTTGAAGTCTAGATATATTGCTGTTCACAAGCAGATGTTCTAAAAATGTTTTGAGGCATCTATGCTGATTTTATTTTTATTGTTCTCAGGAAGATGAACCTCTCTACGCCCAGATCAACAGACCTAAGAAATAGCATTGTTACAGGCTTGTGGTGCTTCAAGACTCAAATGAAAATCTACAACCTGACAGGCCTTTGGCACTCATGCTTTTTTCCGCAATTGATCTTGTCTGACAAAAGATAAATGATTGCCCGACTGGATCCGTTCTACAAACTTACCTGACGGTTTTTGGCAACCAATGGCAAATTTCTATGGCAGCACAAAAATAAAAACGAGCCCTGCTTACCATACAGAGTCCAGCCCTCTCGCCATGAGTTTTGAGTACACAGAATCGGAAATCTTAACTCCTTGTTCTTCTTTTAAACTTTTATCTTCTATGCGCCACATATGAATACTAAGCGTTTGAAATTCATCACGTATTAGGCATTCTTTTTCTTTTACGCAGAAAAAGCAGAAACAGTATGTAGCAGCGGCATCATCATTCACCAGCCTTTCAGGCACAAGTCGGCACTTTTTATGACATGGTGACATGTTTCTCATCATCATTTACACCAGGCGGATCCTGACACATTTTCCCCGTTAGGTATATTTAAAAAAAAAAAATACTGGCTGTGTCATTTTTTTTGTTTGTATTTCTGTTCTGTTTGTTTTGTATGAGTGACAGAGTCTAACAGCAAAATGCCTCCTGTGGAAATGAGTCCAAACTTGAAACCGCAGAATAAAACTGCATTGATGGTTCATCCTGACCGAAAAATGTTGCCAAATGGACCTTTATATTAGTGCATCATGAGGAAGAAATGCTACTTTTCTGTTTGAATACTCATGCTGTGGGTAGAGAAAGGACATCAGATCTCATTGATGAAAGAGATGAAAACTACATTATTTCCTAGGAAACTCGTTAAAAAAAAAAAGTACAGTAAAAGGAATATTTTTTATTTCTTCAATCTCTTGCTGCTGTAATGCTATGCAGACAAGCATTTTCTTCTCTGTGTGCCATTTTTGAAGAAAAATCATTTGCCAAATAATTCTGGTATGATTCTGGTTTATGGATTTGGATAAAACAGACTTTTAAATGGGACACCAGTGGCATGAATTTTGGAATAACAAACTGATTCTGTGATCAAACTGTTCATCTTTATCACTTTTTTGTACATCAGAAAATTCAAATGGGATTTTTATTTTATAACTTGAAAAAAAAATCTTACTGTTAAACTCTTTAAATGTTTAAGGGGAAATGGCTTTAAGGAGTTCGAATGAAAATTGCCAGTTTTTTTGTAAATATAAATGTTCTGGAAGTTCTTTTAATAATGCCATTACACAGTAGAGAAGGTAGCAAATTTCAGTGCTTGGGAGGTGTGGCAAACCCAAATGGTGGTTTTTGCATCACGTATGTTTTCTCACATGCTTATGACAATGGGCTGAGGCTCAAGTGCATTTGCCAACAGCAGTTAGCTTGTCAGCGACTAGTTAAATTGATGGGAACACATGATTTTTATGATCTAGCTTTTTCCATACAAATGTATTCCATATCTTTTTCTTTAAAAAAAAAAAATCACATTTCATGGACATTTCTTTATGATTCTGACATCTCTTCATGGAAATCATCAAACTGTTTACACACAGATCAGAAGAATTAAAAACTTCCTTTTTTTACATTTATGAAACAGAAGTGCAGTGTTTGGGTTCATATGTTTAGCACATGATTTTCAGGAAAAAAAAAACTATATTTTTGCCCTACAGAGAGTTGTTATACAGGTCAAATGTGTTTTCCTGATGTTCCTATGCAGTTACAATGTATTGAATTTAGTGGTTTAACACTAAAAAAAGTTTAAACAAATCAAATGATTAATCTGTTTTTAGGGTTATTGTGCCGATTTTGTTTTTAAATTGAAACATTAGGCTTTCCATTTCTGTCATTGATTAAAATAGGCCTGGAGTTGTAAACTTTTTACTTTCAGTCATCTATATATAAACTAGAAAAGTGTTTAGAAATCAGTTTATTTGCTGTAAACAAGGAAAGCTGAAAGACGAGCAGGGGTAGTCATTGTACAACCAAATCTCATAACATAATTCCAGTCTCTTGTGTTGAATTAGATGCATGAGCGAATGTATGCGAATGACAGATTATCTGTGGATAGACCTAATGAACATACAGAGAAAACGTGTTTTATCCCCATCCACCATATTCTTTGGTCCATGCAAACAGCTGGTAGCAAAGTCATTTTCACGTCAGAAGAAAGAGGCAAGCAGTTATCTAACTTTAGGAGTTAAATTAAAACATACAGGTTGTATGTTTGGGGATTAAAATAAGGAAAAAAATATATTCCCGAGGGGCATTTCTTTTTACTATTTTTGCTTTCAATAAGTGGTGCTACTTTCTTCCTCAGTCAAGCTCTTTTAGGTTTTCTCTTGCAAAATGGGCCCATCGAGATAATCATTTTGATTCTTCATAAACATTTGAAGTATTGTATAGTCAGTGCATTTTCAGTTATGCAGTAAAATGTTCAAAGAGAAAGAAAAGCAAAGTCATGGCTCAGTAAATCCATTGTCATTCCATTTATAGAGTTCAGACTGACCTACCTTTGGGTGGAAGAAGTCCACGCAAAAAGTAGGTAAATGTTGAATAGGGTTGGGATTTTTGGATGATCCATGAGAGATGATAGTCCACATTGCCATTGACTGTTTTCTTCATTTTAATCAGCGTTAGGGGAAATAAAAGAAATCCAGAGCTACCATACCATAGCCCTAGCCTGTCCTTGTCATTGTTGAGATGCTGATTTGCAGAGGAATGTGGGGGTACGCACTGTATCAGTATTGTAGATAAATACATGATCCAGCTTGTGCAATTGTTTAAGTCCCTCATCCTTCACTAGCACTAAATTTGTCACTTTAAATTTTTAAACCAGGGAATCCCACCCACCATCCTGTTATCATCCCCTGTAGTTTCCTGATCTTTACATGTCATGAAAAATATTTTGATAGATTGTAGTCATCCAAGTGTCTGATGAAACTTAACTTCTAATAATGTACTGGGCACCTTCTTTGCAAAAATGTTTACTCTGTGGTTTTCATTCATTTTTATTTCTGCATTCTGACATATTTTTTTAATAAAGATGAGAAAGATAAAATGACTGTTGCAGTACATTTCTAGACCTACTTTAACTTTACCTCAGATGATGATCATTATTTGTTAACATATATGGACACATTATTTTTAACTTTATGTATAATGCATTCAACAAAAGAACAACAAATTTTTAGAATTTTCCATTAATTTCTGTAACACACCATGTAATACTGTTACAAATAAAAATGTTAAAAAAAAAAAAGCAGTATCATTTGAGTGACTTTTTCCACAGATGCTGCCTCAAGTTCTGCTGCTTCCAGGAAGGAACAGAAATTTCTCTTTAGTACAGTTTGTCATGGCCAAGAGTTGTGAAGGTGACTAAAACTATTTTTGGGGTTCCTTAATTCTTGCGTGCCCAACTTGAGACACCTTACACAAAACACACAGTGCTAAGTGTCTCAAAATAAGGCTCTTTTGGGGGGTGTTTAAATATAAGCAATAACTATAAATAAATATTTTTTAGAAAATGGTTCTTATTTCAGCATTGCTCAGATATACCATCCTGTGAAAAAGACCATGGTATGTGACACAATCTTATATTGGAGTTAACCTGTGACTAGAGAAGCTGTGGATCATCTTCTTGCTGAAATGTCCCTCCTCAAATAAATTGCTTTGAGCCAGATCATAATCTGCCTGTAAGATGTCCAGGTCTTTGCCATGGATAACCCCAAAAGTACACCTCATTTCAGAAGACAAATTCTAATCCACCTAGGGAGATGAAAAACTTTCCTGTTTTCTCAATGAGCAAACTAATGCATCCCTAGAAGCCGGTTCCTAATGCATCCCGTGGAGATGCATAGGATTCCTGTTTTATTCTAAGAAAGGGCAACCTTTGTCAAACCTAATCTATCCATGAGGTACAAAGCGCTCTCCTTTTCCTTCACTGAAAACATCATGCCATGTTGAAATCCAGCTCTCCAAGAAGGGGTATCTACATGCACAGAAGAAGGGGGTTACCCGTTCCTCTTTTAGTTCAGTTACTTAATGGTCTGGGCACAGGCCAAGAAGCGAGACCCCAGCTGCTAGGTCATGCTCATCAGAAGATGTTTGACTTTGTCTTCCCAGCCAAGTGTCCTGATTATCTAACCATAGGGTAGACAGGGTGAAAATATCCTTGTTGAAACTCATCCAGTGGGCAGGCAGGCATATGAGGGTTGTGGACGCCAATGGAGAACGAACAAACAGGAGTATGGGTCTGTAAGCCCAGAGATGAAGAAGCCTTCAGTTCTGGCCCTCATGCTGTTTAGCTGTTGTATCCAATGACTATTCGATGCAGAATGCAAAAACAACATTGGGGGCTGGAATAGGGATTGGGAGTGGATGCCACAATTCACTGATTTCTCCTCACTGGGCTAGGGACTAAAACTCCCTCATGGATACTCTTTTTCTGGACTCTTGACTCTTCAACACTTGACTACCCAATGGCACAAGATCAGCAACAGGATATGGATATTTTAAGCCCTCATTTGCCCCATGGCATGGTGGATAGGGTGTTTGGCTGAGAAGTGGAGACTTGGATCCAGTCTGGCTGAGGAAAGCCTAAATCATTGCTCTTATATTTTCTAGGTATATGCCCTAATCATTAAACTAATGAGCTAAAAAGTGGCTAGATTCTTCCTGCTCTTCCCCTTTCCCAACTAGTTTTTTATCAATTGAGGGATACATGCACCATTCATACAACATTTATAGACTTCCCCAGATGGATTAGGATTGCAACAGTGTGAGCGCAGAATTAGGTGACATTTTATTTCAATCATGCAGTTGGTCCAAGAAAAGATATGACTCCAAAAAATCCTTGCCTTTTGCATAACTCCTGGACCGTCTCAGCTACAACATCACTCCAACGGTACCATGGCACAATAAACCACTTCTGAGCATATGGGATAGGCCAGAATAGAGACGTATGAAATCTGGGTATCCTAATGAATGGATGGATAGTTCAGAATGCATTAGGATCATATTTAATGACTAGATGCCTAAGAGTAAGTTCCATTTAAATATCTTGGATTGAGAACTAGCCCATTGCATTCATAATCTTGACAACTCTTATGGCAAAAAATCCAGGAAGAACTGGAAAAAATAGACTTGGTTGGCAAAAATTTTGAAGCACAAGTACTCAAATATGGGCATACAGACCTATTGTTTGGAAAAAAATATTTTAGCATACGTACAACCAGAGCAGCTATATAGCCTTTGTGTTATTTCAGTGGAACTTTTGACAAGCTCCAAGTTATGCATAGTTTCAAGCATTTTGCTGGATGGCAGGACCTTCATTAGATTGGCTCAACATTTAGCCAACTCTAAACACACAAGGCAGCAGAAGGTAATGTAGATTCCATGTGGGATGACCTGTTTGTTCTGATGAGTAGTGCTAAATACAGAAGAAGCAAAACTCAATGAGGAAAAATATATATTTTGGCACTATTTTCTCTTCCCTAAAGAAAAAAAAGTTTAATCTTCCTCTATGTCATACTGATGCATGCAGTTATTTGTATGAGTGTATATTGTCAGCTGAGAGTTTTTAATCCTTTCAAAGATAAAGTTCATTTTCTTATAGTATGTGCATGTTAATGCTATTATAATTGCAGTACAGTAAAAGCTCTGTTATCCAGCATCCATGGGGAATGGGGGTGCCGGATAACCAAATATTCCGGTTATCTGAGAGGTGTCTTTGCCTGTTCGGGCTGCCACTCTTTCTGCCACGGCCAGTGCACCCGGGCTTTCACTCCCTCTCATCAGTGTGCCGGGGGACAGGGACGGAGGCCCCATGCAGGCTGCTTTGCCCCAGGCAATGGCAAACGATGAAGAAGTGGGACTCATCGAAACTGGAAGTGCCACAATGGGACTTCCAGTCTCACTTTTGCCGTGTCGATCAGCAGGTGGTTCCACGTCGATTGGCATGCCAGTTAATAGAGCATTCCGGATGGTAAAGTGCCGGATAACACAGATTTTACTGTATTTGAATGTTCATTAAATATTAGTCAGCTTGCCGTGGAGAGCTTGGAGTGTTGTTTGTATTTCATTTTAATAAAAGCTTGGCAAAAGTAGTGAAATTAAAATTCTGATCAGATAAATTATAATAGTAAAAAAGAAATGTATTGGTTTAACTTGATCTTTATCTTACATTAAAGACTTGAATTCTAGGCTAATTTATATCCACATATCCCCATTTAATTGCATGATTTTGCACATATGCAAATGTGAGCAAAATTGGCTCAGGCATTGCTTTATAGTGCTTAAGATTAGAGTGAACTGACTTTACCCCTTAATCTGACCTGCAGAACCCAGGTTTGTGGTCCGTCCTCATATGAGAATCCTAGTATTTCACAGAACAAATAACCTGGTGTGCTTTTTTTTTTTTTTTTTGCTTAGCTTGTAAGAGTTTTGGGACAGTATTTATATTATGGGTGTCTGCACAAGTTGTGATTGCATAGCAGTGGAGGTATCATGTTATAACTTATGACTGTGTTTGATTGTCCTCTGGGCTTGTACCAGAGGCTGATCCCAGTTAACCCAGCAGTTAAAGGCTCACTGGTCATTTAGGCAGAAGAGTGCAAGGCAGCCAGAAGGCCATATCACTCCATGGTATACTGTTGGCTGTCAAATCTTAACCACTACTACTACAAACCTATTGAGGGGGCACCTTTGGTCTGATTAGAGTCTTTATGTACTAAGACAATAAGGATAATATTTATAAAATATTATTCTTACTAATGAACTAATATGTTGTTGTTATATTAACAGGAATTATTTTGCAAATAAATCTTGCAGAAACCCAGACTCTCCAAAAGTCTATATGTAGAAGAAGGTTTTCATTTAGAAAGTACAAAAAGTTCCAAAGAAAAAATATAATCCAAACCAGAAATGTGGGAAAACATATTCAGGGGTTGCCCCAGGTAGGAAGAAGCGTAGCATAGTGTAGCATAGCATACTGTGTACTGTATAAAGGTGAGCAGAAAACTTGCATGCATAATTAGGAGATTTCTAAAAGGAATTGGTTGGCATTCGGGAAGTCAAAACAGAGTCCACAAGAGTGGAGAAATCTTTTCAGAGATGAATGTGCTTGGTAACATCCTACTGACATATTTCTGTACCGGTTATAAACACTTAGTGGAGGAAGAAGAAATTGGAGTTGTAATACAGTACTTCATAGATTTCATAGACATTTGGGCTGGAAGGGACCCCAGAGGATCATCGAGTCCAGCCCCTGCCCCAGGGGCAGGAAGATAGCAGGG